TGGAATGCTACCGGAATATTACGTTATGAAGGTGCTAATAATACCAATCCAACTACTTCCGAGTTCCCCGATACTGAACCACAAACTTGTAATGATATTCCGGATTCTAGCTTAGTACCACTCGTTGCTAATCCTCCACCACAAAATGCCACTCAATTCATTTTAAATATTACTTATGGCCCAAATGCAGATGGCCGTGGAATCTTCTTTATGAATGGAAATAGTTTTCAACCAAACTTTAGTAATTCTACATTAAATCAATTGACTTCTGGCGTTAGTCCACAAAGTTTACCTGCAAATCAGAATATAATCTCTTATGATACTGCTAATGCTGGCATTGAATTGGTTTTCATTAACAATATTCGTGATATTCATCCTTTCCATCTGGTATACATTTATTTGTCATCTATAGTTATCGTCTATAGTTTTCGTCTATAGTTATCGTCTATAGTTATCGTCTATAATTATTAATTATAATTTTTAATTTCAATTTATATAGCACGGTCACTCTTTCTACGTCGTTGGAAGGGGTAATGGCACTACACCAAATCCAAGCACTTATAATTTAGTTAATCCACCATATCGTGATACTGTAACGATACCACCAACTGGGTAATTTATCTTTTTATTTTTTTCTGAAATATAGGCAGGCAGTATCAGATATTACCACGTGATATTACCACGTGATATTTGGTGATATCCGGTAGTAATTGCCTTCATTTTTCTTCTTTTATATTCTAACTTCTTTTTCACATTAAATAGATGGTTAGCAATACGATTCGTCGCTGACAATCCAGGTGTATGGGTAGTACATTGTCATATAGAATGGCATGTTGAGATGGGTATGGTTGTAACGCTTGTTGAACGACTTAACGAATTAAAACAACTTCCTATACCAGACAGCGTTAAACAATTATGTAGAGCATCATAATAGATGACTCTTCTCTGACATTTAATTTATAGACTTTTTCTCTATTAATTTATTTTCTCACTCATAATTAGATTAATGCTTATGTATTCAATTCATACACATTTTTTTTTTTTATAATCTTGTATAACAGCATATTATGTACACTTTTTTGATCGTAATTTAACAAAGTTCTTAATCGATTCAAATTCAGTTATAGTCCGTAACTCAAACTGAATTCATTATTATTTACAAAATTTATTTCCATTTAAATTTATAGTTTAGGTTAGTACACGTACGTACATACTTTTCGTTATTGAAAATACTTACCCTTACTGCAGTGGTACAAAGCAACAATAGAATGTAAGCATTGTTACACGAAATCTTTACAATTATGGTAACATTAACGTAGAGTTTACGTAACGATAACGTATTATTTTACTTAACATAACGACAGATTACAAAATCTTATATCATACAGATATTTTCATATGAAATACTATATGCAGGCAATGAATACTGTCATGCAATATCGTAAACCTTGTTTTAGCAATTCACTTTACGGAGTACTGTTTATCAGCTCATCGAAATCTCTGTTTTCATTTTATACTGTTTCAAAATCTCTTTAGATTGTTTGGTCTACCAATAATTAATTTCGATATATTTCGTTTTTGATCGTGGTTATGTAATTATGTAAAATCTTACAATTAAAAGGTTAACTAGACTGATCATTAATGTTAATTGAAATTTAATTAATTCATTTTGTGATTAACTGTTTTAAAATCTATTTATATATCATTTTAACCCCCCCCCCTTTTTTTTTTTTATCCTTACGATCAACTATTACACATTTCTCTCGATTTGTTTAATTGAATCATTTAGCTCTAGTTTATACTCCAATCCCTACAGAAGATCATCTCCAGATGCAAATTCCATTCCTATTTTTATAATGTAAGATACGTTGTTATAGTTTTGCCGAACTATATTATCTTCATAAACCAATTCACGAACTATAATTTTTAAAGAATCTCAAATATAATTCTTTGAAATAAAAATTATTTGCAAGGTTTGTTCAATTTCAGTTTGAATATATTTATAGAAATAAATATTAGTTGAGGAATTGGCATCTAAATACCTAGTAACAATATTATATATGATTTTTATTATTAAATTTCAAAACGCAAAATTAATAGCCGGTATTATGTATCTTATTAAATATATAATAAAATCTTAATATTTTGCTTTTTAATTTTAATAAAAATCTTTTAACAACTATTTAAAATAAATTTAATAAATTTTTTATTTTAATTATAAATGATTTTAATTATAAATAAACATTTTAAAATTAAAAAAATTTATCAAATTTTTTTAGTTGTTTTTTTTTGATATTAAGATAAAGTCTTGCTTATATATATATATATTTAATATTAAGGTGACTATTTGAAAGTTTGGCATATTTTATTTAATATCTGGTTCAAATATCAGTTATAGTATAATATAATCAAATTTTATTAATATATTTTATATTTTATTAGTTAAATATTATTAGTATATTTTTATATTTTTATTAGTTGATTTTTATTAGTCAAATTTTATTAGTTATTTTTTTTATACTATATATTTATTATAAATTTTATTATATATTTTATATTACTGTTATATATTTTATAGTTTTATTAGTTTATTTATATAGTTTATAATATATTTTATTTATTTTAGTTATTTAATTGCTGATCCGAATAAGATTGGTACAATTTTTATATTAGAATTTGGGGCAAAATTTCTATAATATTAACTATATGCTGAAATCTGAGTGGAGTTCAATGAAAAGTTTTTTTTATTAAGTTAACAACCAAAGTTAATTAATTAAAAGTTGTAGAGCTTACTGAGATGCATCTAATAGTAGTTAGATCGTTCAAATTGGCCTAGTAGATACTGAGATATCACTAAAAAATAATTGGCCAACTATATAAAATTCTATATAAACAAACTAAAAATTTTATATAGTTAGCTAATCATTTTTTAGTAATATCTCAGTATTCACTAAACCAATTTGGACAATCTAACTTTCATTAGATGCATCTCAGTGAGCTCTACAACTTTCAATTAATTGACTTTGGTTGTTAACTTAATAAAAAAAAATACTTTCTCAAATTCCAGTATATAATAAAAATTTATATTGTACTTATTCCCAAAATTTACTATTGTCCCAATATAGTAATTGTACTGATCTTATCCAGATCATCAATTAAATATTTTTTATTTTAATTTATTTTATTTTATTTTAAGAGTAGCATCTTTTGCCTAAATCTTTTATTACATATATTATAATTATAAATTATATAATATTATAGTATAACTAGTAAGACTTCAGTTTAGAACTATTTTATTCACAAATGCATATTCCTACCTAATTTATCTAACCCTATTTCTAGTATATATCAAGATTTCTATACTATTATATTATGTTTAATATATTTTCTATATACTATATAAACTACCAGATTTGTGAGATTTTTCTGTCATCATATCTAAATACTTCTAATTTGGTATACATATCTATTAATATATAGGATCCTACTTTAGGTAAATCCTCAGATCACTCTTCTAGTTATCTCACCAATCTTTATACTCTTTCAGTGATAAACTTATCATTTGAGTATATATTCAATATATCTAATTATGTATTTCCCAAATTAGTATAGATCTAGATATAGGTATAATTCTAACCAGTAGAGCTACTTATAATTGAGTTTTGTATAATAATATTACTTCTAACTTACAGCTGTATTGGTTAGTATTTTAGAATTAGTATATCTATATTGGTCTTGTATTTCGTCAAAGATTTCTAATTGAGTACAATTTATATCAATGATGTATAAGTCTTTTATACATATACAGATATTTTGTAACACCTCTTTATACTAACCATTTCATATTAGTATAGGTTGCTAGAGGTGTTTTTTATTTGGTTAGGCCTAATTCTTTACCACAGATCCCTTTATGTTCGCCACTTTTTTCACTACTCTAGTTTATATAACAGTTGTGTTATTCTTTCAAATCAAGATCTCAAGACCGCTTTAGGATTATTAATACTATTTTGCCACTTGCAAGATTTACTTACACAACCTTTTTGTTATCAAACTTTCTGTAACATCACTATCATATATAGTGCTCTTCTTCTTCATAATGGATTTTCTTCTGAAAATTCCTAAACCAAATTCATATTTTACTTGAACTTCTACAAGGTTTTGTATTTAAATACTCTAAAAACTATTTCTAATAAGACTTGAACCAAAGACCTTGGCTGTGGGAGTAGATGTTTAGACCACTAAGCTATAGAGCCCTAACCCTTTTAGTTACTTAAATAATAATTTATTATTAACTTTATTAAAATAGTTTTTACAGAATTCTATTTAAAGCAATAATTATTTAATTATTTAAATTATAAGTTCATTTAATATAAACAGAACCCAGACCAAGATATATAAGTATAAATAGCATCTCAAAATAGCCCAGAATAGTATAATAATATCATTAAAGATAAACAAAGTCAAATAAACTCAATTTGGCAAAAGTGCTTTTACTATATTAAAAGATGCTTATACTATAGTAAAAGGTGCTTATAATATAATAAAAGATGCTTATTCTATAAGAAAAAGTACCTATTTGTTAATAAAAGTTACTCTTTATTAATAAATTACTATATTTTTATAGTAATTTAATATTTTAAAAAAAATAATAACCTTTTTTTATATATATAATATTAACAATAAATCGATAATATTTTATCTTATTTATAAATTATTTTTTTTTATAAAATTATATAAGGGCAGTATCATTTATCACCTAATTTTTTTTATCAGAGGCTTACTCCCCCTCTTACTATATATCTTGATCAGGTCTTTATATATAATTTTAAATTTTTTACCCTCTTCCCTAAAAAATCACCTAATTTTTGTCACATCCCTAAGTATATTTTTAACTACTTAAATACTTATCAAATAAGATAACTTGTTAACCAAAGGTCTAACAATATTATATTACAATAATTAATGATCAAACTTTGACTTTGTTATATTAACAAGAGTACAATTGATTATATCTATAACTTTAGTCATTGTCTATATTTATTTATAGTTATCTATCAATTATTATATCTAAAATCTGCATATAAATTCTCTATTTAATTTCTTTAATTGGTGATTCGCCACTTAACCAAAGAGAGCTCATAGTGTAATATGATGTGGTTTATATATATAAATTAGGGTTTTTGGAATATAAGCTGCTTTTATTTAAAACTTTTTTTTATACTAAGTTAATTACCTTTAGGCTTTTAATTAAAGTTGTAGAGCTTGTCGAGACAAATTTAATAGTAGTTAAATTGTTAAAATCAGTCTTGTAGATTATGAGATATCTTTAAAAATATTTTGCTAACTATATAAACTTCTCTTTCAACAATAGTATTGTTGAAAAAAAAGTTTATATAGTTAATAAAACATTTTTTGAAAATATTTTGTGATTCACAAAACTAATTTTGACAATTCAACTACTATTAGATTTGTCTTAACAAGTTTTACAACTTCAATTAGAAGCCCAAAGGTGATTAACTTAAGGGACGTGACAAAAATCAGGTGATTTTTTAGAGAGAGAGGGGGTAAAAAATTTAAAATTATATATAAAGACTTAATCAAGATATATAGTAAGAGGGGGGGAAGGGGGTAAGCCTCTGATAAAAAAAATCAAGTGATAAATGACACTGCCCTAATACAAAAAAGTTTTAAATAGAAGTAGCCCATATTCCAAAAACTCTAATTTCTATATATAAACTGCATCATGTTATTTTATGAGCTCTTTCTAGTAAGTAGTGAAACACTAATTAAATATTTAAATAACTATTGTTTTAAATAGAATTTAGTGAAAACTATTCTAATAAAGTTAATATTAAACTATTATTTGAGCGACTAAAATAAATAAAATATATCAAAAACTGAATAGGATCGAAGTATTTGGCAAGGTACTCT